TATTTGTTATCAAAAAGCTATGTCAGTATGTGCTATCACTTTTGTATAGTTCGTATGAAAATATTGATTGAGAAAACATCTCCCAAGGATTGAATGAAAGTCAGTAAGGGCACTTTAATTCAAAGAGAGCAAACTTATCTATGGGAATGAAACTATATATTTATTTCAGGCATCCTCTTATTTATAAGACTAGTCGTTTTCCTGGTATGAAGTGAGCTAAAACCACAGGGGGTACCTTCCACTTATAATAAATTTCCTCCACTTTTGTTCTGTTTCCCAAAAGGTTCAAAAAATCTTACTAAAAACAAAAAACAATTTTATCAACAATTGTAATAATCGTTAGCCCAGTGAGTGTTAACAAATATTTAAGAAATTGATAAGAAATGCACACTTGTATATTAAATATATCAAGTTGGCCTAAATTTAAAGATTTCTCCAGTATCGATTAAAGTATACATAACATTCAAAATATTGAGAGTTTGTATCATGACGTGGATACCTTTCCGTAAACACTCAACAATTTAGTGCACTGAGGTTTTCTGAAGTGCCTCCGACATCTAACTGTGCGTCCAACAAGTGGATTCACGTAACGAATGGCAATCTTCCATTATTTTTTTAATTATAATAATAATGACAATAACAATAATAAAACTACTTACTTACTTTTCTGAAGTGCCTCCGATATCTAACGTGTGCGTCCAACAAGTGCATTTACGTACGAATAGCAATGTTTCATTTTTTTTCTAATTATAATAATAATGACAATAGCAATAATAATTTTGATCACAGAGGGGGCAAATGGCAAGTACTAACGCAAAGGCTTTCGTCATCCTACCAGGTCCCTATTTCTCTGGGTATGGAGTGGCAAATGTAGATTAATGCCTAGCCAAAGGACTTGCTGTTGTGCGGGTAGCAATAATGTCTACTCTCCCATTTGTATCGCGAAATAAATAGACAATAACAATGGAAGATAATTAATACAGAAGAGGCGAAGAAGGGCCAAATTAAGTAAAACGTATATATATGAAAACAAAAATATCGTCGAAAATGAAAAGAGTGATGAAGATTTCAGCACAATTTCTTGATTTTGTTTTGCCTTGAAATTCGGAGGCATTTTAATTCAGCCTCGGGCTGTCATGGCTATGTGCCGATGTAAAACTGGACCATAATCCTTGATAAATTACCATGATTACCCTAGGTCTAATCCATTAAAACGTAAAAACCGGGATTTTATGTCGCCAAGCCCTTAATCGGGGCAGGAAATGAAAAAAAGTATTACCCTTTAATACACACACTTTCTCCGCCTTTTATAGAAAGCGCATAGTTCGCAAGAAGTATGTGTGTTTCTAATAATGAGGCGGTTCAATTTGATATCTTCACAGAACTATGCATTATGCTTTTTTTCTTTTTTCCATCTTTTTCGCTTTATTTCCTGTTCCCTCTTTATTCTAGTTCTTCGTTTTTTTATTTTGAGATCGTTTCATTTTCTTATTTTCTCATCACTTCTCTGACTCAACTTTCTCCTAAGAAAGAGACGTCTATACTGCCATAGCGTTTAGGTTCTCCATCATCACCCTACTCACCAGGTACTCACTCTCCCTTTCTCCTACACTTGCTCCGTCTCTTTGACAGTATTTTTTCATTCCTTGTATCTCTCTGTAAATCTTTGTATCCCTCTCCCTGCATCTGTATTTGTCCGTCCGTCTTTCTATCTCTGTCTCTAGACATAACATCTGTCTCCCTCACCGTCTCTGTTTCACGTTGACGTATAATGTTCCCTCTTTCAGGTCGATTTTTTCCATCTCGATGAGGGAAGTGAGATTCTTCTTTTCTTTTGTCATGCTCTCCATCGATTACATTTTTAGATTTTAAAGTCAAGGCCTGAACGTGTCATTCCCGCCCTTTCTCCCATCATCCTAGAGCCTCGTTCACACACGACCTTGTAAACCGCCTAAAAAAAACCACCATGGAAGAATAATGTATATTTTAAGTGTAAGCATTACAAGTAGTAATAGCAATAACCAGGCCTCATTTATCCGGGGCAGCCACATAAGTATTACCACTGCTTTTCCTGCAAGCCCTGTAAGTATTACTAGCATACCCTTCCATTCAAGGTACCCATTTCGTCTGGGTAGACAGGGAGAAATATGGGCAAAACACCTTGTCCACGGATGTAAGCACCGAGCGAGGATCGAACCGAGAGCCACTTGTTTGAGAGTCAAGAGCCTTGCCAACAAAGTACAGTTCTCCCCCGTGAATAAATGGAAAGTGAGGTGAAATAAAAGTATCTTTCCTCGTAGCAAAGGCCCATTCGATGTACTTACATATTTTATCTTTGTATTACACAAATATGCAAAAACGTGAAACGCGCTGCATTCAAGTCATTGCACACTACGGTGGCGGTTTCTTGTGATGGTTGACCACGTCATAATGAGAACGAGGCTTTATAGTCCGTCACGAACCTTAAAACTCTCCCTAGCTAGTAATTGACCTTTACATTGACATGTTGATGTCTTCAAACAAGTCCCAAAGAGACTTATCTACAAAAAAAAAAAAAGAAGTTCGAGGTCATTACTAAATGTTAGTCGCCTTTTGATTAAAGCAAACGATATCGTAACAAAATATTTACACCCGCATGCACACTCCCACACGTGCGTATACACCTTCCTTTTGTTTAAATCTTACAGAATATTGTTCATGGTTCATGCTCTTTTCAAAGGATTTTATTATTTGTCGTCATTAGAGAAAACCTGACTGAAACAGGTTTTCCTTTTAATGATGCGATTGAATTAAAGACTCTAGAAAGCTCTCATAAGAGCAACAACGTCCCAAAACACATGAACAATTGACAACTTGGAAACCGATTTTTACTTTCCGGAAAATGAAACTTAATACTCCCGTGAGCAAAACGCAACTTTTATATTAACATGAAAGTGCAAAACTGATCTTTGTAAATGCCATCGCATTACGATCTTACTCTTTGCTTTTATATATAGTCTCGCTTCTTGGAGGTTCGAATCAATGTCTTAATTATATTCACTGTTTGATTATTTTCCTTTTAAATAGCAATTTCGTTCACGAAATATTTATACATCAATGCAAATGCCATTATTGTCAGATAATTCTATAATAGCTTTTCAAGGAAACAGTTACGACTATAACGAATCTCGCAATTGTATGTATTCAGTGTTGATCTTGGCAATGCAGAAAATAATCTATAATTTTGTAGTAGACCAGGTAAACTAACATTGACAGCCCTGATACAAAACATTCCCAGAAAATTCACTTTGCTGGGCTCTCTTCGTAGATGGCATGATTTTAAGTGCATGTGCTACAAATGAACATGATTTAATCATAAGGTGAAGCATCGTACTTCATGCGTGCAATACCTTCTGACGATATGGGTGCTACAAATAGACACGTACAGTGTACTCCACTATAATATTCTTTATTTCTCCAAGGAGACAAATAGCAAGGATGCAACAATTTATTATTAATTATGCCATAACGTGGCCTGATGGTATATCTGAATTATTTACCACAATCCACACTCTGCTTAATGAAGTCAATATAGAGCTGTAATGCATGATGAAAGTACAGAAGCACCTTTGGAAGTGAGCTTAATAATGAAATAATAAGAAATGTATTATTATGCATTATTTTTACCCATCATTTTATATGGTTTATATCTTTTCATGTGAAATATATAATGTATATTATTGTCGCTAAAACTATGATTTACAAGTATATTAATGAATAGTATGGTCAAATTTATCATTAGTTTATGACGTGTAATAATTATGAAAAGAAGACAGGGGCTAAGCAAGGTTTCTTAAGCAATTTCGGTTCAATTTGGGATGGAATCCCATTATTATAATTAGAGATGTGTCGGCATTTGGACTGACATAATATTTCATAATGTCTGGAAAATGGTGTTAAGTTGTGTCATCCTTGATTACAAGGATAGCACGGGAAGAAAATAACTAATTAGTATTAAAGGTAACTATATCTTGAAGTTTGCGAAATTTGTTTTAGCGTTCATACATAAATGAAACATGCTTCTCAAAAGCTACGATTATATTTAGTATGAAATAAAAAGTGTAAGGTTACACTTAAACTATCTTACGCAAGACTGTTTAAAAGAATATTATGATATTGCTCTCCATTTTGAAGCTCTATTCACTGTCACCTCATTATTGTTTTAATACTTTTCTTTTTGTTATATAAATTTCATGTCACTCCTTTTTTAATTTTTTGTTTTATATAAACACACCGATTCATATTCTTAACTTTATTGTCATTGTCGGTATCCAGTTAATAAAGACGTTAATCCTGTTGACATAGTTATCATCCCGCGTGCATGCCTGTAGCTGTGCACAGAAGTAGAGATAGTCGCGCGATATTGGTTGTCGTGCGCCAGCATTCGCTCGCTCCATGGCTCTGACTCTGACTCTGAGTGGTGATTTGGTAGTGCATCTTCGTTCAGTGAACTGAGAGATGACTCGGGCGTGGTATGTGAATGCATCTCATCCAGCTCACTAAAGCTTTCGGAAGTTTCAGTGGTAAGGAGGTTCTAAGCAAATTACGTTTGTTTCTCTCTCTCTCTCTCTGCGAAGCCGATCTAGCTGGGATGCTAACGGATCAATTATTGCATTTCTGTTCTGAAGTCTTGATTAAAATATTGATCGGATTCCAACTGACTCATTTTTTCTTCCCTATATTTTCCGCCTCGAAAGTTTTTAACATCTAACATTCGATGGCGTTCTATCAGGTTGTTTAAAATGTCATGTGGGTTTTTGCCTGTTCATGTTGAAATGATTGAGTTATCTCGTGCCTTTTTCTTTCGGTCGTACCACTGTGCTTAACACCCGTACAAGGATTTCTACAGGTGCTTGAGTCTATAGACTATTTCATCCATCGTCGTTTAAGAGTTCTCTTAGAGCTGGCAAAAGTTCTCTCATTTCCAAGTCACCCACGAAGCTCTTGTGTTCATTCTTAGCATGGCGCGTAACTTGGTGAACTTGTTAATGGTGGTGGGGATGTGTGGTAGCTTAGTTCTGAAATCGTCATTCGGTCAGCTATTAACCACCCCTGTTCCAGATGATGTCAGGGTCAAGTTATGTGGACTCTTTTCCATACACTTTCGTGTGGACATCGATGACATGAGTTGGACGGAAGGTCCAGCCCGTGAGCGTTGTGATGGCTACCATATGCTCTCCTACCTCCGTGCTAGAGCAATGACTTATGCCATTGATGAGATTAACCATAATACCGACATTCTGAACCACATCCAACTCGACTACGACATCAGGGACATATGCAACTGGAAGAGTTCGGCACTTCGTGCAGCATCGCAATGCCTTGGTTTGGAGTACGACGAGGAAGCGATCACCCTCAATTCCGACCCCGCCATCACCAACCACTCTGCCTTGCTCTTCATCGGACCTGATACATCGGAAAGTGCCGAAACGGTGGCTGACTACGCCCAGAACTTTGGTGTCCCCGTCATCAGCTACTCAGCTACTAGTGCGTTGCTGAGTGATCGGACCAAGTACAGGACCTTCTTCAGGACTGTGCCTTCGGACATTCATCAAGCAGCTGCTGTAGCTGAACTCATCGCTAGTGAGGGATGGAACTGGGTAGGACTTATCGCACTGGATAACAGCTATGGAAGGTCCATTGCAGTGGATTTTCGTGCCAGGGCAGCTCGACTTGGGATATGTATCGCTCTTGATCTGTTGGTGTCTCGAGAAGTTGACGATGAAGGTAAGCACAAACTATGTTGTTATCCACATGAACCTGTTAAAACACACAAACAAACAATAACTCAAAGTAGAACTAAAACAGAACAAAGTAACTGCATGCTACATTACAATGAGTCAAAAAAAATATTGTTACCCAACTCTTTGGTTTTCCGATATCAACATCCTGTGAGGAGCAGCATACTGGTATTACTGGACTGCTGTCATGACAACCTGACACTTTACTGTCAAAATACTTCAAGTCTGAAGTAGCCATTTTTAATAACTCTATTATCAAGCATAACACAATTGTATTTTGGTTGGTACTTGAATATCGACTGCCATGGAAAAGTCTGATTCTCTGTAATGATCTCTTTTCTTAAGTAGCGTGTTTTTTTTTCGAGGGGGGGGGGGGGTGCCTCATTATTTAATATCGATAATAATAATAATGTTCAACTCTTATATAGCGTATATTACATAATATTTTCTCATGCGCTTAGATACGAGAGAAGAGGAATGATACAACAAATATTGAGCTTTCACCGTGTATCACTTAAAATTATGAAATCAATTAAAACAAATGCGTGTTTAATTTATGATTTAAGACTGGCATGATCGAAACAGATACATGTATGTTTTTGTGTCGGATTTAAACTGATCTAGTGAAGGACAACAAGATTGTTTCATCGTTCTGGTATGGCATATACTGGAAAGCACGGTGCCCATATGTTTTGGTTAATGTAACTAAGGGCGTGAATGAATGTTTTAAAGATGAACGGAGATTGTGAGTTGGTCGATGACTCGAAATACTATTTTGCAAATATATGGGAGCATCATTGTGTTTGCATGTATATGCAAATGCAAAAACGTTACAGGTAGCCAATGTAAACAAGTATAATATGATCTCGTTTTAACGTTTTCGTGTGCCAAGTCTAGCTGCATAATTTTTTACTCTTTGGACCTTGTCTATGAGTATGTCAGACACAGGCAAATTAAACACCAAACTGTTACAATTGTCAATACGAATTAAAACACATGCCTGGAATATTTGTTGTTGTGGCTTAAACAAGGTAACGTCTCAGTTTGCCAATTTTGTGAATTGCATTCGAAGCTGTCTGACAAACATTGAGAACATGTCTTTTCAATGTCAGTTGATCATCAAACATGACTCCCATATTCCTGGCATAGCTTGAAGGTTCAAGAGGAGGTCCATTGAACATTATGGGTGGCAGCTGACTTCTGATTCTAAAACGTGATGATAATATACGCAATAACTCGGTCTTTTCCTCGTTTATTCATTGCAGACCATGACTTGATTTCATTCAGACATAATTCAATGTTTGGAATAACTGTACATTGAGAGTATATATCATTTCAAAGCTGTATACAACTGTGTGTCATCAGCTTAGATGGCATAGTTGAAAGCATTTGCAGATATAATGTCCTCCAGAGGGAATGAATATAAGGTAAACAGAAATGTTAATGTAACATTTCAAACGTTTTGCCATTATACAATTCAACAAGAGGCTATTTTGTTCTTTACATCCTAATTAGATTGATGCGAGATATACCGAGAATGATGAGCAACAAATATAGGCTTTTGATGGAAATGTTGCAGTTACAAAACATAACAAAAGATATAAATATATTTTATTATAAGCAAAAATTATGCTGAAGTGATCATACTGTAATTATGTATTGTTCCGGTGATCGTAATGTTGAAAGTAGTTCTGCTATAATATCTTTGTCATCAAACAGGCAAGTATACTCCCTTTTCTTTACAAAGTGCCTCTAAACCTATAGGTTTACACTTTTATTTGTCTTTGATTTACTTTTCTATTTTTATGTATTCTATTTGAAGATTTTCGCTGGTACTTTTTTGGACAGTTGACACAAAGATGATAAGAACAGCAAGGAACAGCAATGAACAGCAAGGAACAGCAATGCAGATTCTTCTTGTCTTATCCGTACCTGAACCGCTAATTTTTTCTTCTCCCAGCTGCCTTCTATCTACGTCTTTCTCTCTTTGTCTTTATCTACCATTTTGTCTTTCTCTATCTTTATATCTCTCAGTAATTACCATTTTTAATATATTTATTGTCCTTCTGGTGCCCAACTGTGTCATTCTTTGTCTACATACAGGTATGCAGAGGCTAGTGGACGGGATAGAAATGAACCCAGTGCTGGAGGTGATGGTAGCTTTCACGTACACTAAAACCCTTATCTCAATCTTGGAAAAGGCTGAGATACGACTCCCCGGAAAAAGTGAGTACAATATTGCATCATAATATATTATTTATCATATGAAGGCTAGAACACTCAGAGGTCAACTCTGTAGAGAGAAATGGATCAAGAGATATAAATAACAAAAAAGGGAAAAGGATATAGAGTGGACAAAAGAGAGAGCGAGAGAGAGAGAGAGAGAGAGAGAGAAGAACAAAAAGAGAGGGCGAAGAGAGTCAAAACAATATCAGGAAAGAGCGGGGACAGCATGTAGGAAAAAGAGAGATTTTGTGAGAGAGATAAAGATAAAGAAATAATTAGAAAAAACGAGTGAAATAGAAAAAATGGCGAAAGATAAATAGAGAGTGAAAGCAAGAGAGAGTGAGAGAAGGACGGAGAGAGAGAGACAGAGAGAGAAAGAGAGAGAGAGAGAGAGAGACAGAGAGACAGAGATTGAAAGAGATATAACGAAAAAGAGATGTGTTGTGTGGTTGCAGATTGGATGAAGGAGTCAATGTGAGATTTAAATTGCTTTTTTCGCGGATAACCAAAATATAATTACAACTTAAAGGGCAATCTAACCCTTGTAATAATTTGATTTGTCTAAAAGCAGAAAAATAACATAAACAGAATGGCAAAAGTTTGAAATGAATCGGACCAATAGTAAGGAAGTTATGAATGTTGAAATATGAGATCACCAAGTCTATGCGAATCTCAAATTGGTAGTTCGGTCAGTGGATTGTGACGTAGGGCTTGGATAACTCTCCCATTTGCCGTGTACACATACAGTATATCATTAATTTCTGTTCCTTCTCCCTTGAGGCATTAATCAATATATATTATAGATTGCAAATTATTATAGGTCATCTAAAAAAATAGACCATTCTGAGCAATAAATGTTTGAAAAATTTAAATTTTAGTCATTTTATATGTTGGAACAGATGGGAAAGAAGTCTGGCATCACATCACATTGACATTACCGCTTCAGCCAATTTGAAGTGCTCATACGTTTAGTGATTACAACTTTCAAAAATTCATAACTTTCTTATATTTAGTCATATTTAATTGAAACTTTCATCAGGTTGCTTCTTTGATTTTTCTGCTTTCTTTTTAGAATAGTTATCTGTTTGGGTAGGATTTCCCTTTAACTGAATCTCCGGATTTATCTAATGGTAGGATGATTTAAACCTGTGTTGAAAAACGAAAACAAGTATTACAATCGCAAAAGAATCAGGAGAAGTGGCGAATCGATCTGGATGACAAATATATCACTACGGCTAGATCGTAATAACTATTCGAATATAGTGCTCAGCATACGCCTACGCCTATTTAATAATTAATGCCGTATAAAAACCTTGCTTTTTGTATTTTATGTCCGTACAACGATGATCTCCTGCACTCAAAGCAAAACACAGACTCGGTTAATGGAAAGTTAATTATTAATCAAAAATACGTTGTAACACTCATGCTTGAGAACAGTAAGGATCTGCAAACATCTTCCAGACTCAGCAGTCAACGCAAAAGGAACAACCTACTGCAAGGAGGCTGTTCCATCCTTCATCAGAATGATGCAGCCTCCTGTATGCACTGACATAATTTAAGTTTACTGGCATGGTTTTTACTTTCCCTGGACTTATATTTTACTGCCATTGGTAAGTGTTTTGTCAACACACCATTTCTGGCACTGCTGGCTGGCAATTACTCGCCCCACCTACTATTCAAGTATAACTTCCTGAGTGAGCTGCTACCGGGATTACCCCATCAAGTAACAAGTAAACTTCTGTAACGCTATCTAATGGAACGTCAACATTGTTACGTATTATTTTACTCGAGTGCGCGCACGTCTAGTATTTTAATCTATAGAGTGGGGAAGTGTGACGTCATCAATAATCTATTTTTGGAATTTCTCAATTTTTTCTTCATTTTCCGAAAGAGCATCAAAAATAATGTTATATTGCTCTGGTTCATAACTTTACGAGCCAGAGCAATATAACACTGAGTTCCAATAGGAAATCTATTTATTTAGATGGTCATATATCAGCCAATACTTAACATATTCAATTAGTTTGTCGACATTTGGTCCTAATTTTTGATGCTCTTTTGGAAAATGAAGAAAAAAATTGAGAAATTCCGAAAATTGATTTTTATGATGTCACAGATTCGGTACTCTACACCGCTCTCGTTGTGCATGTTTCACATTCGAGGACAGCGCTTTTGCCGTTATACATGTCAACAAACGGATGAATGTGATTCATTGCCTGTACGATACTGAATTTCATATTGCATCACAATCCAAATTCACCGGGTATACGAATACGCGAAGCAAAATCAATAGGACTTTCATATAAATGGCTCGTTATAGCTTTTCACGATTGTTGCAGTCACTAGGTATATCGACTAAAAGTTTAATAAAACACACAAACTTGTAAAGCCCTGTCACTCAATCTCGTTCTTCGTCCATCGTCGGGATAGGCTGAATAAACAGGACACACGGGGAAATCAATGCGGAGGAATTTTAATCAACTGTCTCATTCGTGCTCACAAAGAAGTAGTCCCCCCAGGAGTCTTTCTCAAAATAAAATTGCACAATCATTTTCAATCACCAGGCACGTATGATTTAAAGGGCCTCAATATCGCACTTTCTAAACATGTATTGAATATTTTCATCATATTATGTGAATCAAACAAAA